GTGCGTGTGTGTGTGTGTGTGTGTGTGTGTGTGTGTGTGTGTGTCCGTATGCTGTGTGCGACTGATAAGACCCAGGGAGAAGAGCCAGCGTGCCGACATATTCTTGCCACCGCGGTTATCGCCCGTCGCAGCTGTGCCTGAGCTCTGCGACATCTGCTCCCTCACAGGAAGCCTATGCTGTGGCTCGCAACACCTCACACACACATACGCAAACACTCACATGCACATGCACCGACACGCACTTTTACTGCTGCCTCTCCATACAGTGTGAACATATTGCTGGACTGTCCCCCCCCCCACACACACACACACACACAAACACTTACATCAGGTAAACTACTTGAGACAAAGAGCTGTGTTTACACTTCTCAATGGCACATTTTGATTTCCTCAACGTATACATATGCGTGTGTTTATCTGTGATGAATGGGTTGGAGCGTCAACGTCAGAGTTCTACTGGGTTTTTATCACAGAATTACAGGGGGGTTGCTTATGACTAAGCCTAATTATGGAGGCCTTATCTCTGCAACGTTCACAAAGCTCATTACTGCCGAGAGACGGTATGCGCTGCAGGTAATTCACTACGTTGGGTATTAGTCCTCACACTGGCTTACCATTTCTACATATTTAGAGTCTATAAAATTAGGCTTTTAATGTCTGATTCTTAATGCATCTCTCTCCTCAAACCCTTTGCTGATTTAAGCGAAGGTTTTAATTTTTACCTAAAGGCACTGCTTCAGTGTTTTCACTTCTTTATGAATCAATTACATTATTTCCCTTTTTTTTCTCCGCCTGGATGTCTTTTAAGTATCCCTCATCTACCTGCAAAATACTCCCTTAAAGTTTTCCTTCTGTCATTCACCCTTATTGACCTGCGTGTGTATTATGAAGCCATTGAAGCTGAACACTGAAACTCCAAAATCTTGCACTGTTCCCTGCAGCTGTATGGGGAAAGCCCAGAGGAAGACCCCCCCACCCACCCAATGCTCTAAAAACCTCTTTCCCTTTCTATCCAGTGCCACAGGACAAATGCGCTCCACTGGGCTTGTTAACAATAATGACAGGTTTATTTGCGCTTGACAGCCCATATGAAGACATGACAATAAGCGCATGCTGTTGAGGAAAAAAATAAATAAATGCAGTTAGAGGGCAATTTAAGCCTGATGCCATGATTTAATTCTATCTTGAATTTGTGAAATTCACAACAAAATAATTCCAGCCAAGAAGAAGCCATTAAGATGATATTGCTTGATGTCATCCTAACCTTAAAACCCCTTGCTTCAGTCATTCAATAACAGGTCTACCAGTGAGATGAAGAAACCTCACATTGCCCTTACAGCACGCGGAGCAAAGTCAACACAAACTGATTATCTGTCAATCACGTCTACTTAATGAGCAGACCTGACAGCTGCGGGACCCTCCATCACTCATCACGGTCAACACACTGCCAAAAGATTTCATAAAAACAGGTCCTGCAAGATCACAAGCTCCTACCTTCGCTACATCTGTAATGGCTGCTGGCTGCCAGGTTGTGATCGAGGCTCCTGGGCTGGAGTCTGTGGGCAGCATGTTTATCCCTCAGCTCTCTGTGACTGATCAGGGCGACCGTGGGGACACGCGGAGGGACCGCTGGAGCAGACGTGGGCTTGGCTCTCGGGTCGGTCTTCTTCTGGCGCTCCAAAGTGACCTCAGCGGACATGTTCTTTGTGAGGTGAAGGACTTGTAGCTTAAGAGACACACTGCATAAAATTCTGGAGGTTCAAGAAGGGTAGCAGCAACAGGGTAGTTGGATCTAAAATTCACTGTAAACTTTTAGGTTTTCCTGCTGAAGGCTGTCTATCATTAAGTATGCTTCAGGCTTTCCATGTTTTTGATCAGATTTTTTTTGCCAACTTTGCCTCTGAGGCCCCAGTAGATCATTATGTGACCCACTGAACTGCCATCCAAGGACAAGGACGTAGCTGCACTTAAAGTTCCAAATGGTAAAATGAGAAGAAACAGCCAGAGGTATTCATTCGTCTTCCTTTCACATCCCCACTGAAGTCTTCTATCTTGGTTGTATTGTTCCTGGAATCTTGTGATGTTTTTTCTTCACTTTGCATCAGAAATATGTATGATGGTTGGATGTTAATACCCACAAGTCTCTCTGCTAAAGCCATAAGTCTCTTCAGCAGCCCCCTTTAAGAAAACATGGCACATCTTGCATGGAAATCTCCTGTTCTTTCTTCTTTTCACTAGGCCCAGTCTTCTTGATATCTCTTCTCGCCTTTCCAGCAGAGTGCGTTGGAGGCAATCAAGGGTGCATGTGTGAGTGAGTGTCAGTGGCAGGTCAGCTTGTCTTGTGGCTCTGGTTGAGGGGTTGTGCGCTCATCTGAACCCTCCTCCTGCCCTGCCTGCCGCCGCCGCAGCTCAAAAGAGAAGTATGTTACAGTTTTTTTTTCCTGTGTTGCAGGGCTGCAGGCCCTGGGGAGGCCAGGCAGCAATGTTGCTTGCGGTGATAGCAGCAGACAGCAGCAGGCAGCAGGACCCAGGCCTCCGTCTGGGCTTCCTCTGTCAGGAACCAGCTGTGTCGGCCAACAGCCACTCCTTCCCTTCTCGCATCCTCTGTTCTAGGTTGCCCCTCTTTTGCTTCTGTGCACCTTGCCTACTGGCCATATTGAGGCTTTCTGTTGTCCAATATCCTCAAACACATCCTTCCTGTTCATCCTTTTGGGTTTATGTGATTGTAACTTGTCTCCTGATGTCAAGCTAACTGTATGTAGGCTTTTTGTATTTTACTGTCTTTTGTTTGTTTTGTTTGTTTTTGCATGACAGTTCACAAAAAAGTGCAACAAGCGGCACAGCGAATGAGATCTCTAGTCAATGGCGTTGGAGTTGAACAAAGGAATGACAATAAATGTCGATTGCATGTGCAAGTTGGCCAAAATCTACACAGAAGCTAATCACAGCAATAATATGATGTAAATCTTCTCACGTACTGTTATGTCATCTATTTCAAATGACCCTGTGCATACAATTCCATTGCAATAAACTGTGTTTCAAACTTGTCAGTTTAAAATTTCAGGAAACCAGTAGAACAATGTTAGAAAAAGTACCTTCTGTGCTGTGTCAATTGTTGGAACGATGAAGATGCTTTGGCTACAGATTAAACATATTTGTTTGATTTCATCAGTTTCTTTGACTCTCAGCCATTTATATTGGACAGGAAGCTTGTTCAAATTTTCTTTGTGAAAATATTTATCTTGAGTTTTTATTTAGTACAAAAGATTAAATCTGTTACGCTCAATCTTTTACGATACCCGAAAGCTGAAAATTCAAAACAATTAGCTAAAACAGCCACACTGCAAAGCTGGCCATTAATTCAACCTGGCTTGCCCACTTATTGACCATGATGCGCTTTTTGTAAAATTCTTATTTCAGAATTAAATACATAGATAAAAAAAATAAATAAATATCAACACTAATAGTGGCAAACCACAAGAAAAAACCAAAGCTGTCTTCTGCAACAAAATTGAAAAACCTTCTCAGCATTAAAAACTTAGTCATATATGTTTTTTGACAAATCATTACCAGAATTCACATCTCCACAAGTTTGATGTAGATTCTCACTAACTTCATGTTTACTTCTCTTTTCATGCATTCTGGATAAACTGAGGGTTTTCCCCTTGAAGAATTTTCCAATGATATGCACAAGAATTAGGGAACAAGGTAGTTTCTTTGAAGAAGTCATTTCATTTTGATAAACAGTATACTATTCATGGTTATGAAATAAAATTTGCTGTGTAATGTCTTGTCCATTGAGCATGCATGTTTTATCAATTTTGTGTGATCAGTTTGATAAAAGATCATGTCATGGCAGGTTTTCAATGACACTTGTCATGTAAATTTCCATCTCCCATTACACTCCACCACATGGGTGACAACATGTAGGACTTTGCCTGTTCCGGGAAAAGACATATGCTGACACATTGCTGTCACACATTTGGAATCAAAGATGCCACAGTAAACTTCACTAAGCTGGAACAGCTGAAAGTGGCTCTCATGTGAAACCCTAGCCACATTGTAGCCGTCACCTCCTTGACCTCTGACCCCCCAGGACTCATTAAACCCAAACCCTGATGGAGTGGTCTGTGCGCATGTGACAACAAATACTCCTCACTGCTGCACACACACACACACACACACACACACACACACACAATGCCACACGTTTTTGTTGGGGTAAGTAGTGTGAGGATGAGAGAAGTGAGAGGGGATGTGAGTACACAGATGTGCCAAGCGCCTGGCTGAAACCAACACACAGATGGTCATCAGAGGAGAGGAAGTGAGAGAAACTCATGTTGCTTTCGCCATCTTTGGGCATAGAGGGGAGGCGGGGGGTGGACAAAGACATATAGAGAGAGAGAGTTGTGATTTCGCTATAAACCCACAGTGTGCACAGCTCAGGAAATGTAGGTGTTTTTTACATTTTTTTTTTTACCAGTTAAACCATTGGGATTTCCCACATTTACAAGTTCATATGTAGAGCATTCATTTTATATTAAAGTCAATAATAGTGAAATCAAAGTGCATTTCAATTACAGTTCATTTAGGAGCGGATTTCCCTGAGCAACTGATTACATTTTGGCATGGAATTTTTTTTAGGGGTTTAGTGGAAGAGTCCTGTAAGCACAGTAGTTCGCAAAATTAAAACAAAAACAGATGCTTACTGCAGGATATGTAGTGCTGTGAGAGCCAGGAGGTGATATGACAGCTTGAGAATGGATGCTCTTCACAGATTTGCCAATACTATACAATGAGATATAAAGGAAAAATAAGTTAGTAAGTGTCAGAAAGTCAGAAAAGGAAGGGGGTAAAAATTAGTAACACACTGACTCGTGAATGGACAAGA